TTATCCGCTCGACCAACAAGGTCATATAATAAATATTTGACCTTTTTTTAGTCGAAATGATAGGATATTAAAAATCAAAACGCACAACTGTGCAAAACAAGCAACCCAAGGCTGAATAATACAACCATGAACTAAAAACTGAGAGGACGGATTGAAAGACCGCCTAGAGCCTCGCTAGCCACGCTAGAATAGAGGACACACTACACACAACTAAAAGACTACCAACACGCCAACTATGAACGCTCCCCACGGGAGAATAGAAACGCCTCCCACAGGGGAATCAGTACCGGGGCCAATGGCCCAAACCTAAGAAACAAGACCAAAAAACACAAACAGAGTCAGGCAAAGAGCCCATACCAAAAATACTTAACTAAACAGACTCAAGCAACAACAAAACAAATAAAAACGGGAGCCCTTCCCACAGCAGAAACCACATCGAGCACAACAGCGGCAAGGTATCAATCCAGGATCCTGACCCAGAAACTTCAAGAGAACGCCTAACTGAATCAAGAGCCGACGGACCGAACCTTCATCCATACGGACAACTCCACCGGCGCCCGGAGGAAAGATACCAGACCAACAACCCACCCGACCCAGCCCAGCTAGGCCCAGCTCGGCCCAGCCCAAAGCAACTCAAACCAGCCCATAACCAGCCCGAAGAAGCCCGGCCCAACCAAAACCAGACCAGCTCAGCCAGCACCCAAGCTCCGCCAAACGATCCCCGGCGTCCGCGACTCCAAAGCACCACAACCACCCGAACGGCGACCATGGTCCAAGAATCAACACCCACCCTTCAATCGCTGACCATCAAGCACCGAGCAAGGACCAGGAGAGGCCAATTGGTCGGAAATCGAACCCCACCCCAAACCCTAAATCGAGAAATTGGGGACGCCGCTCACTCCGAGAGAGTACCGGAAGCCGCCACTACGGAGAAGCCGGAGGAGAGCCAGACATCCGCCACTCAAACCCGGTACCAGAGGCTAGAGACCAGAGGACTACACCAACTACTCCCCGGCGAAAAAGCTCCTTCCAGCGGCACCTCTCTTCATTGCGAGCAACAGAAATATATCTATCAACAATTAAAAATCATTGAATAATAATAATAATAATAATACAAATATAAAATAATTAAACATATAATAATTTGTTTATTATTTAATAAATAATAAATAATAAAATAATACAAAAAAATTAATAAATAAATATTTACAAAATAAATATATAAGAAAATAACATAATATATAAATATATTCAATAAAATTATTAAATATTATAATTAAATTATAATTGTATTTTAACTAAATATTTAAAAAATAAATAAATATACTAAATAATCTAATAAATAATAATGTTTACCAAACAAATAAATATATTAAATAATATAATAAATAAATATATCAAAAAATATGATTTTTCGTATTTATTATAGAATATATTTATTTATTATATTATTTATTTTATATTTATTTAATATATATTTACTATATATTTAATATATATTTAATATAAATTTAATATTATTTTATAAATATTTATTTTGGTGAATATTTATGTAATATGAAAATAAAATTTATTCTATTATTTAATATATTTATTTATTATATATATATTTATTTATTTGTAAATATTTATTTATTATTCTATTTATTATATTCATTTATTTGGTAAACATGATAAATAATATAATAAATAAATAAATATTTACTAGATAAATTAATGGAATTACCTAATATAATAAATATTTACAAATAAATA